AGTCCATCAAATGTAAGCTTTAATTTTTTTTTTAATTTTTTTTTAAGATTTTATTTGTTTATTTTTAGAGGGGAAGGGAGGGAGATAGACAGAGAGAGAGAAACATCAATGTGCGGTTGCTGGGGGTTATGGCCTGCAACCCAGGCATGTACCCTGGCTGGGAATCGAACCTGGGACACTTTGGTCCCCAGTCCGTGCTCAATCCACTGAGCTATGCCAGCCAGGGCTTGTAAGCTTTAATTTTGATGGCTTTGTGGAGCAAAGGGAACAGAAATCGATGCCTAGGGAAGGAGCTAGCCCAAGGAAGAGAGTGGTGGAAGACCTCCTCACGTCAGGCTGACTGAAACAGGAGTAAACTTACTTTCTACCTCACCCTCAACTGACTGCAAAGTAAATTGTTTTAGTACGGAGCAGAGCAAGAAAAAGAAGGAAGTCATGGCCATCATTCATCTCTTACAAAGATTTGCAGCCCATCTACCTAAGTGAACTGGAGAACCTCATGCCATTAACTTCCGTGAAGGCTGTCTTAGACCTGCGTTATTCCCCCAGGTGTCTGGCAAAAGCAAATAGCAAATCTCTCTGAAGAAAGACTCTTTCATCACAGTGTCCAAAGAACTTTCAGAAGCTATTTTTAAGAAAAGTAATTAGTGCACAGTCAAAAATAACCAAGCACACAAGGAAATAAGACACTGTGAGCAAGAACCCAACAGAAATAGTGTAATAGAAAGAGACCTGCAAAAAATCATATATTAGAATTATCAGTGATTATAAAAATAATATTGATTTCTATGCTTGAAGAAATATATCAAACTTAAAAAATGAATTCAAGGAAAAGGAAACTTTTTCAATCAAATTTTTAAAATAACCAAATAAGAATCTCTAGAAATGAAAACTGAAGTAACAAAATGCAAAGCTCAATATACATGACTAATAGCAGATGAAACTCAATTGAAGAGAGAATTAGTGAAGTGGAAGATCAGGAAAAATTACATGCAGCAGAGACAAAAATATGGGATTGAGAATAAGAGAAGTGGAAGATAAAATGAGATTCATTGGAGTTCCAGGAAAAAAAGTTGGGGTGGCACATCTCAGTTATTAATGTCATACAATAACCCCAAACTTATCAGTTAAAGATAAACCAGTTTGATTTGCTCACAGTTGCGTGGGTCTTGAATTTGGAAGGGCTCGGCTAGGCAGTCCTCATATGGAGTCTCTCATAGCATTGCTGTCAGATGTCAGCCCAGGACGCAGTCATCTGTGGGCTCCAGGTGCGACAGATGTACAAGATGACTCACTTACCTGGGGTGTCATTTGATACTGGCTGTCATCTAGGAGCTGTGGCTATAAACTAGAGCTGCCTGCACGTGGTTTCTTCATCCTCAGTGTAATCAGCCTCCATACCTGGCACATGGTTTCTCCCAGAGGGAACGTTTCAAGAGAACCAGGAGAAAGCAGCAGGGCCTTTTATTACCTAGTTTCAGAGTACATGTGGTGTTGCTTTCTCCATACTCTACTGGTCAGAGTCACACATTTAAATAGAAGGGACACAGATCCTGTGAGAGGAGGAATGCTGAAGATTTTAGGGTCTCCACACTGAAGTCTGAAGAGGAGGTACCGCTCAGCTGGTGCTGGTATCTGAGCTCAGAGGAGAGACGTCTTTGCGAGGGAACCCAGGCCTCTCAAGGGCGCTGCTGCTACAGGAGCAAAGAGCTACTGCCACAGTGACGAAGTGTTGTCAGGATGCCGCTCACAGAAACCGCAGGCGAACAGCCACTTGTGAAAATAAAACAGGAACACCCTGGCTGGTGTGGCTCTGCTGCCTGGAGCATCGTTCTGTAACCGAAGGGTTGTGGGGTTAATTCTGGGGAGGGTATATACCTAGGTTGCAGGTTCAGTCCCCAGTCCAGGTGCAGACAGGAGGCAACCAGCCAGTGCTCCCCTCTCACATTGATGTTTGTCTCTGTCCCTTCCTCTCTCTCTAAAGCAATGAAAAAAACGGATGTGGACTTAAAAAAATACTTTTTTTTTAAAAGATTTTATTTATTTATTTTTTTAGAGAGGGAAGGGAGAGAGAGATAGAGAGAAAGAGAGAAACTTCAATGTGCGGTTGCTGGGGGTCATGGTCTGCAACCCAGGCATGTACCCTGGCTGGGAATCGAACCTGGGACACTTTGATTCCCAGCCTGCACTCAATCCACTGAGCTATGCCAGCCAGGGCTAAAAAAATACTTTTAAAAAGCAAATAACCCTGGCTGGCATAGCTCAGTGGATTGAGCACGGGCTGGGAACCAAAGTGTCCCAGGTTCGATTCCCAGCCAGGGTACATTCCTGGGTTGCAGGCCACAGCCCCCAGCAACCGCACATTGATGTTTCTCTCCCTCCCTCCCTCTCTCTCTCTCTCTCTATCTCCCTCCCTAAAAATAAAAAAATTAAAAAAATTAAAAAAATTAAAAAAAAAAAAGCAAATAAAACAGGAAGGAAGAAGTCCCTTCTCTCTCCTCTAGCTTTGCAGTCTCTCTTGAGTGCCCTCTATCAGAAGAGCCTGTCGGGGAGCATTTGTCAGATTTGTCAGTGCAGAAACGTGGTTCGTGGTCTCAGCTCCTGCCTCACACACAGAGGGTGGAAGGGCAGATTTGGAGCTGAGGTACAGTAACTTAGTAACCGACATATCTGGTAAGATTAAACGAAAAGAGAAGAGGAAGACCATACATAAATAACCAGTATCAGAAATGTAAAAGGAAATGTCATTCCAGATGCTACAAATATGAGAGGATAAGAAGATTTTTAACAATTTTATGTGATAGGTACTTTTATTTATATTTGAAGTGTTCCATAAAAAAAGTTTGAACTTTATGCTCATAACCTCACCCGGGTTAGGCACTTGATAAATATTACCTCCTTTAACCCTTAGGACAGTCCTGTAAGGCAGGAAATGTTTTATACATGAGGAAAGATGAGCTCAGAGCAGTTACATACCTCACATGTGATCTTCATGTCATTCATTGCCTGGACTTGAGCCCAGAGTTTCTCTGTCTCCCCAAGTCAGTCTAGGAAACCTTAGAAGTCATCAATACAGTGTCTTCATTTGATGATAGAGCAAACTGAGGCCCGGAGAAGTGACTTGCTCAAGGTCACTGGCCAACCAGAGTATACTCTACTGGTTTACAGGGAGCCAGAACCTGAATTCAAGACCTGTTTCCAGCGTTTACTAGATGTGGCACCTTGAATGGAATATTTGACCTTTCTGAGACCGTTTCTCATATGCAAAACAAGACCAATAATGCCCACCTGGTAGGTTGTTTAAGAATTAAATGTATAGAAAGCTCTGGGTCAAAGCTTGCCCCACTACTGTAGGTACTGTTGGGAGCGGTGGAGGTAACAGCAAGGGTTGGAATCTGGGCTTCTGTGCTCCAGTTCAGGATTCTTTCCTAAAGAAAAGGGAAAAGGTGGGAACTTTCCTTTAGAGATTAACTGCCAGAAGGGTTATATTTTAAGATAGTAGAGTATTCTTCATAATATTGATGCTCCTCTTTACAGTTCTAGTTTTGGGTAGGGTGACATTATAGCCACATGAAATTGCACAAATTCAACTATACATGCTCTTTTGCCTTTTCTTTCTCTTAAAGAAAAAAATTTGGCCCTGGCTGGTGTAGCTCAGTGGTTTGAGCATGGGCCTGCAAACCAAAAGGTTGAAGTTTCGATTGCCAGTCAGGACACATGCCCTGGGTTGAGGGCCAGGTCCCTGGTGGGGGCTCATGAGAGGCAACCACACATTGATGTTTCTCTCCCTTTCTTTTTCCTTCCCTTCCCCTCTAAATAAATAGATAGATAGATAGATAAATAAAATCTTTCAAAAGAGAGAGAAAGAAAATTTGCCCTGGCTGGTGTGGCTCAGTGGATTGAGCACTGGACTGCAAACTACAGGGTCACTGGTTCGATTCTTAGGGCACATGCCTGGGTTGTGGGCCAGGTCTCCAGTGGGGGCCATGTGAAAGGCAACCACACATTGATGCTTCTCTCCTCCTCTTTCTCCTTCCTTCCTTCCTTCCTAAGAATAAATAAGTAAAATCTTAGATAAAAGAGAACATTTTTCACACTCTGACATTATGTCTTACACATGCACACATGATACACTGTATGTTATTATTCAAATACATTTAAATAGTGTTCTGTACACAAAACTATGTATGCTGTATTTATGGACATTTTAATGAATTTTTCACAGTAAATTTAAATTTACCTTTGCTGTGTGCACTGATACTAGATTCTGATATTTTCAGAGATGATTAATTTTAAAGGATACTATGAAAAAAGCTCTGTTATCTTTGTTTATTTTATACCTGTATTGTAATCCTGTAGAGCTGATATAACCATTTCCAAAATATTCTAAGAATATTCTAATCCTTGCTACATATATCTTCAAAGAAGAAACGAGCACCCATAACCTGCATCCTATGCAGCATGAATGAAATGCTCCCTAGTGAGCTGCCAACATCCTGAGGTCACAGTCTGAGAGCTGATCCTTCCTCTGTCTCCTTTAGCATCTTGCCAAGTGTCCTGTGCAGAGTAGGTGCACAGAAAAAGTGGTTGCTAAGCCTTGGTCACATGGCTCAGTCGGAGCATTGTTCTGTGCACTGGAAGGCTGCTGGTTCAATTCCCAGTCAGGGCACATGCCTAGGTTGTAGGTTTAAGACCCAGCTAGGGCACGTGCAGGAGGCAACCAGTCAGTGTTTTTCTCTTACTTTGATATCTCTCCCTCTCTCTCTCTCTCTCCCCCTCCCCTTCCCCTTCCTCTCTTTCTAAAATCAATGGAAACATGTCCTCAGGTGAGGGGTGAGGATTAAGTATATATATATATGTTTGCTAAAAGAACAAAAGATATACCAATGTTGCTTATTCTTTGTGTATACATAGACCCTATGGTTAAATTTGTCATTACACCAGTTTGCATGGATTAAAAATCAGTATGAAGAGCTTTCTCCTCTCCTGTTTTCTTTCAGTGTATATACAAGAACACTTTACCTGAGATGCAGGCCAAAAGTGAAGGTGAGTCTACTTCACAGGGTGTGTGTGTGTGTGTGTGTGTGTGTGTGCTGGGAGAGAGGGGATACTGGGAAGGTGGGTGGAGTGGAAGAAAGGGATGGGGTGGAGAGGTAGGGGAGCGAGTACAAGCTTCAGAACCAGATACTCTTGAATCTTAATTCTTCCACTTAATGCATTATGACCTTGGGCGAGACTTTTCTCTTTAAGCCTTAGTTTCTTCAACAGTAAAATGGACCTGGTAATAGCTACATTGCAGAGTTGTTTTTAAGGATCTGAGATTATTTTAATTCCCAGCTCCAGGCTTGACAAATAGATGCTTAATACATTTAAATAAGTTAAATAAACACAGTTTCTGAAATCTGGTGCAAGCCTGAAAAATATGCTGTGCTCAGGTACTTCCACCAGGACAATCACTAGCAAACCTACCAGGCACTATGGGCCTAGCCCGTGCGCTTTTCCCCATTTTTCAGGGATAATATGGAACACTTTATCTTCTTTCATTTTGTCCTGACTTGTTTCCAAACAGTTTCTCTTCGGAATCTGGCCAGTGATCCTGTTGGAGCCTGTCAGGAAGCACAGATAAATTATTCCACCAAGAAAACAAAAACATACCTGCCATAGGCCTGGTCAAAGGAATGAGGAGATCCTTAAAGATCTACGTGTTCAAATACATCACGACCATCGCAGCCGAGGAGCGACGACTCTCTGACTGGTGCTGCCAGGCACACAGAATGAGGAATGGGGCTCGTTGGATGCGTAGCCTATGTCATTATCTCCTTTGTCCTCCTCACCCTCACCCTAAGATGTTAAAAAGAAACAGACGTGATATGTCTATGTATACTTGAATGCTAGAAAAATTGGGCTTTTCTTTAACAGGTTAACAGTTTGTGCTGATCATAGGAAATTTACTATTTCCTCTTTTTTTGACAAGGGTTGCATGTGAATTATACTTTCTTAATATTTGGTTAAATAATGAAATCACTATACTGGCAACACCCTGGTCGTCTCCAGAAGACCAGCTATGAGCTAGTACTTAGCTGTGTCAGCCTTGATTTGTATTTTTGTCCAAGTAACCTCATGACAGTTGGTTTTCCAAGGTTTTTTTGTTTTGTTTTGTTTTGTTTTGTTTTGTTTAAAGAGCTATCAGTGGGATTCTGGTAGTTTTTCACCGTCTGCCTCTGTGCTAATCGGAGGGTGTCATAAGCAAGCTCAGACCTGCCACTGGGTTGTCACACCCCTGCTCTGGCTTGTCTGTGGGTGGCCACAGCCAATCAGAGCAGGAGGGTCACCTTACAGCCTTTATGAAGGCGATGAGGACACCTGTGCAGAAAGCCGTATCTGCAGACATTGAAGGCGGTTGTTCTGTTTCCTTTGATCTTTGCAGATCTCCGAGTGGTTACTGTTTTTATGGTTAGGCAAACATGGTCTGGTCTACCCATATTCTGTCCTCCCAGCATAACTTATTTGAGGTTACCAGTGAATGTCATTATACTCTGACATTTTAAATTATGCAATATTTTCCAGTTTTCAGAGAAAATGTGTTGAGTTAACTAGAGCTAAATGGTCAGGATCCTATTTACATAAACTTATATTATTTAGAATATCTGCTCCTTCATTTTCTGAAGGAAATAGATTTAAGGGTTGAGAACAGTTCTAACTTACTTGAACTTGTAACAGAACTCCCAAAGGTTAAAGTGCTGAAAAACAGCAGTGAAATATCACTGTAAGGCAGCTCGTGCTAATTTGAATTTGAATGTATAACAAATCGTATCACTTTTCACAAACATAATACCTGTCCAGGTTTAAAAATTTAATTTGACCACCCCTTTGCTCATATATTACCATATTTGTAGCTCTACACCATTAACATTTTTATGACTTTACTTGCTTATACATTATTATAAACTTCAGATTGTTGCCATGAGCTTCAAAAGGAAGCTCATTTTTTCTTATGCAAAGATATTAAACACTTCTGTCATTTTCCCAGTATTCAGTAAGTAGCCTTAGTACAAATTTAAAACCAGTACAAATTCTGTCCTTTTTTCACCTACTTGCCTTAGTTTTAATCCAAATAGTATTTTCCTTACCTTAACATGCCATTAGGCGGATACTTCCGCCTGCTTTTATGATCCTCCAGACAAAAAAGCACTTGCCAAAACATAAATGTAAAAGAACTGTGGTCGTGCCTTAGGAAAACATGAAACTAAACAGTTCCCACACACAGCCCACGAGATCGTTCTTTCTTTTACCACAAGGTTCTGACTCCTGGCTGCATTTCATGTGCAGCTGCCTAGGCTGTCTGCCATCTTACATTGTTTAATGAGTTCCATTTGTTTCACACCATTGTCTTTTGTGCATTTCACTCAAGATATACTTCTGCTTAAAGAATCTGTATAGAAACAGGCACCTCCTTAATGACAATGCTGCAAAACACAGGGCGACTGAGACTCTCCAGCATTGAAGTCAGACTGAGTGAGCGGAGGGCTCACGCTCGCAGGGCCCTTCCGCTTGTCGGGTGAGCAGGCAGCCCCACTGGGTGAGTGGAGCTGTCCTGGAGAAGTGCGGGGGCCCCTGGGGGACTTGTAACATTGTGGCCAATTTTTCAAAGTTCTTTGTTTCTGTCAGGAAAACAGATAGCATCAAACTGTTTTGCAAGTGTTGGGCAAACAGCAGAGACTAAAACCAGCCTTTTTCATTTTCCAAGTTAGTTTTCACCCCACGTGGCTCTCTTTTTGGCAACCTAAGTAAGTATTAGCATACTCAAGACTTTGTTCCTGTGCCACAGCACGTATTTTGGAAATACTGCTAACCTTTAGGACATTACTAAATCACCTTTATTTCAATGGTTTTGTTTTTTCCTTCTCGGATTCTGGGTAGGCATCATAGGGTTAGATTACTTCCCCTCTCCTTGCCCTTTATTTTCTTGGAAGACTTCCTGTTAACTAGAACACACACACACACACACACACACACACACACACACACACACACTCCCCTTTCCTCTAAGCAGATAACGGTTTATTTGCGTATTACCTGATGTGAAGGGTACTCATCTGTGAGCCCGTTAGCAAATCATATTTTAGAAAACATTAATCCTTCATGAGGAGGTGAAAGAGGTGGTTTGTTTGCACATTTTAATATCCTTCCTGTGCTGCCATTTTCACTCCAGAAAATTAAAAAGAATTAGAATTTTTTTTTTTTTTTTTTTTACAGAAAAACTGGGGGAAAGGTGGTTGTGTCAGTCAGATTGGTCATTCTGTCCGCTCCTCCCCACCTTGGCATTTCCGGGACACATGGCCACCGCTGAAGCCATCTCTTTGATCCTTGTGATATATAAATTGATCATTAACAGGAGAAACATTCATTTTTGAATAGTCTACAAACAGAGAGATCCAAATAGTAATATGTGGTTTAGCAGAATTCGATCAAATATTATGGTTAAACTTTATTGCAAAATTTCCAGGACTGTTAATCTGGGCTTTCCTCACACTGAGAGGATTTTTCTTACGCTAAGAGGAGGAATGAGTCAAAGAAAATCAAGAGACAAAAAATTTCAGGTACACAATGCATGAAAGTCCTTAAATACCTGCAAAAAGTTCCATTTTAATGCAAACACTTTCTGAATTTAGCCAATGTCCCTAAAAGTGTTTAATAATTTAAGGTTATTTTGTATGTTTTATAGGTTCCATGTTACGTTACTCTTGAAAAAATCATTTGTTGCTAAGTGTACAGTTTTAGCTCCCAAGTCCACATTCACATGACAGAAGAAATCCTTCTAACCCTGTGGTTTATGACGTGCTACTGGACAAGCAGTTGTGTAAAACAGGAATTTCAAAGTGAACCAGTTATCGCTGGGGTTTGCAACTCTGTGGTGATTTGCACATCTACCTCCGCCCACATTGTACATCATGTCAGTGCCATAGTATAATTAGCTTGGTAACTTTGTCTTGTTTTTTAGTGTCTAAAGTTACAGCTTGTTCACTGTGCTGTAAACATTTGGAAATGACTAAAATTTGGCTAAAAGTAGTTAAACCTCTTTGGGGGAGCTATAAAATGAAAAAAAAAAAAAGAAGAATGGTCATGACCCATCTGACTGGAGAAATTCAGCGCTGTTTTTTTTAAACTGTTGTACTTCCTTCAAGAATAAGGAAACTTTTACTTTAACATCCAACTGTAACAGCTGGGTGGGAGTAAGTCGTCAGAATTGCGGAGGTCTATATGAGCGTGCCGCTGGACTTAATCTTCTGTTGGAGAGGAAGTCTTTCCTATCCTTTTAGATTCAGTAGTTGGGGGCCTGACAAATGACAGGTTAGCAAGAGGAAAGGCTTTTACTCACATACTTACATGGGAGTGCAGAGAAAAATGTACCTCAAGGAGGAAGAATTTGGGGCTTAATAAGGAAAAGGGCTGGGGACGGAGGGCACTTACAGGAAAACAAATGACTTTTAGGAAAGATAATGGGGCCTTAGGAGAACAGGTGGGAGAGACGGTAGTTTCATGACTGTCTGTTCGGGTGTGGAACTCCCAGGGGAGAGGATTTATGACAGTTGAGTTCTTTTGGAAGATAAAAGGACTTCAGGAAAATGAAAGGCTTCTTCCTGCATTTGCTCATTCCCAGATGCCTTCAGCTCAAAATAATTCTTTTGCCACAGTGCTATATTCTGTGCCCCTTTTCTTCCCATCTTAAAACCTCCTGTTTATAATCTGTTGGAGCAGATTATAAACTCAGTCTCTGAGTGCAGAGGGCAGCCACAAGGGCCTCCAGATGTCAGCCCTGAAGTCCCTTTAGGTGGTGGAGTAAGGACGAAAGTGGCAGTGTCTGTCATGGTTGTTTCCTGGAGCTCAAAGAGCCACGTTCCGGTGAACTTCCTGAGAGTCACGAGTGATCGTAGTGATAAGTCCTTTAAAGTCACAGCAGGTTGTCCAGCTTCAGCTTGCATGGCTTCAGGAAAAGGGCAGTTTTAGTTCTTAGTGATACCAAGTCAGGAATGGGAGAGAACTGGAAATGTACCTTACTGGAAAAATGCATGAGACGGCAGGATCCAGCTTACAAACAGGTGAAATAAAATAGCCCAACGAGAACAAACAGGACTAGAATCTAGTTTTCCCCTGAAACAAAATTTCTCTCTACTCGCCCTCATTTTTATCAAAAACAATCAGGGTAAGACTATTTTTATTTGCAAAACAAATCTAGTCTCATCAAACTTGACCTGATAGGTTAAGTGCAACAAAAATAATAATTGATGACAGAGGCCTTTTAAACTTTGTTTTGCTCGGACTTTCACCAGGGATTTCAGATTGGACATTTTAAAGCCTCGAGGCTAGGAAGCCAGGCCAAGACCTCACCACCGTCAGGCTTCACCTGCAGTACCTGCAGGTTTAGATCAACTCATCCTTCTCAGGGCCCCCAAAATATTCTGAGCTTTTTGGGCTGCCACAAAGTGGCCCTCCTCACCGGTAAGGCTAGGAACCCTGCAAGGGTGCCAGGCCGGTTTTCCAGGGGAGCTTTGTAAGCGTTGGCTCCTTGTAAGTCAAACTTAGTACCTTAAAACTAGTCATTTCTTACTTGATGCGTATCTTCTCAAATGTGACATTCTAGTCAAAGCCCTGGTAACATAACCAGTGCTTCCAGCCGTGTCCTGTTGATACAAGGAGAACAAGTTCTTTTTGGACATAGTCGAATAACTATGTTACCATACAAATAAGAATATGCAATAAGAATTTCCAAGTTTTGGAGGGATCAGACAAGGAGAAGAGATAAATGTTTTATTTTTGTTTACAAAGATATAATCTAAATTCTGTAAGTTATAGATAGCTTAAAAGAGTTAAAGGGGTTTCTTAAATCTGGAAAACAGAAGATTAAAGAACAGCAGTACTAAGGTTTAGTAATTAGTGATCCAGTATCTTATCTCATTTGGAAGTGACCTAGACCCAGATACAGGTACTGCTTCACTTGAAATTCAAACTGAAGATAAAGCTCGGGTTTTGGACCATAAACTTTCACCCTGGGTCATGAAACCTTGACATCATGGAGGGAAAAGTGGAAAACATAAGGGGTAACAACTTGCACCAAACGCCAGTCCTTCTTCTAGCAGGCCGTCAGAGCAGCTAAGGAGAAGGCATCACTAAAGAATTGAAACGATTATTAGCTACAGAATTTCTGCTGTTCGTGCACATTCAGCCATTTGGAAGAAGCAGTAATGACCTCTGGCCTCTGTTTTAATACACTTTACATATCTAGTATTGTTTCCCAAGACCTTCATTTGTCATTAAATTCAGAAAGTTACTATCCATTTTGATAGCTAATGTGGAAAATGATCACAGGAACATTTCCTACTAGAAAGCCCTGAAACCTAACTCAAATTCAATCACAGGCATGTGTGTGACCTGAAATCGCCCCACTCCGGTTAGCTCAGCAGCTGGCAATATTACGCCATCAACCACAGGTCACCCTTTGCTCACAGGTCCTTTCAACCTCATTAACAAAACCTGCTTCATTGCTTTAAAGACAACAGTGTTGGTAATTAAACTAGATGTAGTCCTTGGCACCATATTTTTCGGACTATAAGATGCACCCCCCAAATTTGGAGAAAGGGGGTGCGTCTTGTAGTCCAAATGTAGCTTACCTGGCTTGCTGTAGGGGGGGCAGTGGAGCAGGGTCACAGGTTATTAAATATTTTACCACATTCTTTTGCTTCAATTTTTTTTCTATTTTCCTATAAAACCATGTGTCTTATAATATGATAATTTAAATTTTCACCAAATCATAAGGTTCTGAAACATGGAGATGTTAGATCTGCAGATCACCACTTTTAAGTTGAGTTTACAGAGCTAACTCAGGTTGCAGCAGGGTACATGCATTAGAGAAATCTTTAAGCACATACACACACATCCCTATAAATACTCATGCTGAGGTCATCTTCACCCAAAAGATGATACAAGTGTTCTGTGATACCAAATGGCCGTGGAACAGAGGCAGGCAGACTACAGCCCCGGGCCAAGTCCAGTCTGCAGCGGTGTGGCCTGAAAGGTGAGAATGGTTTTCACATTACAAGTGTTGATTGAACATATAAAGACCTGCGAAGCCTCTACGGCTCGCCCTCTGGCTCCGGAAGGCCTTCAGCAGTGAGCTCCGTAGTAGAAGTCTGGTCGTACTTCTTACTGCCCTTCTCTGCAAGGTGGTTCAGTGTGTGTGTGTGTCAGAATGAAATATTTTATACATTTGAAATCTCTCACTTTGTTGAATGTAATCATATGATTTGTGTTTAAATATTTACACTATAAAATTATTTCTTCATAATCAGTTTTACTAGATTGGCAGGAGTCTGCTGCAAAGTGCCTAAACCTTTGAAAAAATTACATGATTTTGTTTTTGTTATAAAGGGAATTCCACTCTGTGCTGTAAAATCCAAAAACGTTAGCTGCATTTATCTTTTTGAGTTGACTTCCAGAAAGCTGAGCTCTTTAGACCATTTGTCTCACGCCATGCAGTAGCTGCAGAGGTACTAATAAGCTGCACCATAGTCGTGTACACATTTTTTTTTTTTTCAAAAGGAAAAGTTCAAAGATTTTTTCCACAAGTAGTTTGTGTTTCTTTTTGGCTCTTTCTAGAGCCAAATTAATGCTTATTAATACATGAACCTATTTTAAGAAATAGCTATTATCAATTTCTGTTTAATGCACTGATTGGGCATTGTTTATTGTCAAGCATTTTCATATTTTTAATATTTCTGAGTCATTTATCAATGTGACCAGCAGATAAACTGTTCAAGTTAATTACCTGGTTTCCTAGTTTCATTTTGGTGTAGATGTTTTTTCTGCTAGCAATTATTTAATAAACATAGATTGTCCTGAATCGGTACAAGGAACTAAGCATTTCCAGGTGACCTCACATCTGCTTATTCACTTTTTCCGTTTGATTTGCCAATGCCACAGTCATTTTTCTAGAAGATAGTAGAATTATGTGTATTTGTCTAATCCGCTATAATCTAGGCTATATTTCAGTATTCAATTACCCCTCTGTTGGTAACAGTACTGAATGATGCTGTCTCAAATAAGACTTCTGGTAATGTCTTATCCCTGGTTCATATTTAATGTATCAGCACGTTTGTATAAAGGCAGGGCCACCGTGGTTAGTTGCAGATTTTGAGCACTGCACAAGGGCACTCTGTCGGGGCTGGGGGCTAGTGGAGGCTGAAATCTGGCCTCTGCTCGCTTGTCAAGGTATGTGCCCTGGTAGGGCTGCATCTCAGGACACACCGTGTGCCAGTTTCCAAGTGAAGGGGGCCGTACAGGCCAGCAGCCGTCCCATGCATAGGAAAGGATGTTCAGTAATTATGCTAGGATATTTCTGTTACTAGTCTCAAACTATACTGTAGTACCTTCGACTCCAAGCCTCGGTAAGTTACTAGGTTTCAAACAAAGGGAAGGAAGTATATGGAAAAGAGATGGATGTGACCTCGAAGCTCAAAGATTCACTCTGATTCTGCGAGTGTGCTTCCCTTCTGTAGACCTTCAGCAAAGGAGCTCCCAAGTGGAAAGCTGGTAACTTTTCAATTAAACAGTATGATCTATAAATACCAAGTGTGCTCAACTTTAGAAGCTCTGGAGTAAACGCACAAGCCTTCCAGGGTTACACAATTAAGGGTGTTGGCTGGGGGGACAGATCAGAAACAGACAAAAATTGCTGCATGAGCCACATATGTCAGCAATGCCCAAAGTGCCATCTACAAGATTTAAAACAAATTAAGAATATTCCATAATTCACCTAGTTTTTCAAACCACAGCACTTTTTTGGAGGTTCTATGAGAGTTTATGAAGAAGTTCTATGAGGTTCTATGAGGAAAAATTAATCTGGAACAATACTATTGTCTTCATTGTAAATTTTGAAAAATAAAAATGAGGAACAAAAATATTGGCCAGATTAATGTGGCTATCCTATTAGGAAAATACTCTGTGATTAGGTGAGGTGTGTCTGCCTGCCCCCTGGCAGTGACCGCCTGAAAGACCATGCCCAGAGAGCCTCCACAGGGCCCAGGAGGTCATGCAGCAGAGTGCCCTTCCCACCTGGCTTCTCCCCGCCCTCCCCCAGCCTTCTCCCCTGAGGTGACTCCCTTCCCTGGAGGCCGTAGCAGAATTAGCTCACTTTCCCGCAGGGATGCTTTCAGCCCAAACCTTGAGAACCCACCCGCTCCAGCCCATTCCCGGCCATCAAGGAGCTGCAGCTAATGTATGTGAATGTGACGTTGGAAGGAGCTCTGCAGCTGAGACAGGGAGGGAAGAGAGCAGGGGGAAAGACCGTGAGGTGCTGTGACCACTCCAAACTCACAAGGCACTCTCACGCTCGATAAGCAAATTATTCTCTTGGAATCATGTTGGGGTTGGGAGGTTAGCCATGAAGCAGGGAATTGGGAAATATGTAAGCTTAACCCTTGGTTCCAAACATCTGCGAGAGCTTGTCTTTCCCCTGCAGGGGGCACTGTAGATGTGAATGTCTTTTACCCCCAGGGCTGGAGCCTTCGGCCACCAGAAGGCTCAAGTGAGAAACTGCAAAGTGGTTCTTGTCAGATGCATCTTCTCAGGAGAGTGGCACCGTGTGTGCAAAAGAAGCTTCAGTGGAGTATCTGCCCTTAATGTGAGACCTGCAAATCCAAGAGGGAGCAAAAGGTTCCTGCAGGCAGGTTCTCGTGGAGAAGCCAAATTAAGACAAAGGGACCGGTGGGTCATTAAGTCTACTGGAAATAGACAACCAGGGAGACCCTGGGATACAAGGCAAGGGGTGAAGTCAGACAAGAGTGGAAATATCTAAAGTTCATAGTATCTAAAGCCCAGGAGGCGTGGTCTTGGTTAAAGAGGATTATGGCAGTGCTGCCTTTAAAGGACCTGCAGTCTTGAAATGGGATGAAAGAAGTTACTGAATAAATCAACCCAAATCAGGAGTTTTCACATGGACATGGAACTTTGCAAGAACCGAGACAATAATTATTTGCTAGTGTATCTTCCAAGCTCTTCAAGCTGCAGCCTTAAAACCTGCCCTGTGGTCTGCGCTCTGGCTGGTTCTGTTGGAGCCAGTGGCTGCTGGCACCCTGGCCAGTTTCCTGGGAGATGGTTATCCATCACTGTCCCCTGAGCCTCTGAAGCCGAGTCCTCTGCCAGCCTTGCGTATGGTGGTGCCACTGCAGCTTCTTACAGAGAATTGATTACCCTGTTGTTCTCTGTCTGTGATGAGCCCAGCAAAACTGAATAGATTCAGTTGTCTCCCCTGGATGTTTATCTTCAGGCCTTTCTAGAGGCCACCCTGCGTTTAAGAAAAGAAGATTTAGCCTCACCAGGCATTTTGGACTGTGAAAGGGGATGGGGGGAGCTGACTAGAGTCACGCGAGAAGAGACTGGGTTTGTGGCTCTGGGAGAGAGCTGAAGGGATGGCCACCAGGCCCACCCCCGGTGCTGAGTCCCTCTCCCGCACTGCAGATGTCGTCTTTCTTGGGTGAGCTCCCCCTCCTTACCCAAACCTCAGCTTTTAAATATTAGCTGTTCTAACCAAGCCTGCTGGAATGGGTAGTTTCCATCACTGCTGACTGACTGTTGGTAGATTCTCATATGGCTGCATTTAGGAAGGTGGTAGATTCTTCCACTAGTCCCTCCTTTGTGTTTCAGAGAGGGACAGCCTTGCCTGGATCAGCCCTTTCCTGACGGAGAACACAAGTGAATTCGCAAAGCATTTTGAATGGTGCTGTGTAAACTGGACAGTTGCAAAGGAGTTGCGATGGCTTCAGTTTTGCCTGTGAACCAGTCACACTTTTCTAAAGCCACCCTGCCACACAGCCCCCCCCCTCCCCCCACGCACAGGCGCGCATCATTTATGGAGTGAGTTTTACTGATCTTAACTCTGGGCTCGGCTCTGGCATGTCGGAGGTATTTTTTCCACCTTTTTCTCCTGCTTCAGCCCTGGACTGCAATGCACAATGTGTCTACCAAGGCAAGAGAAAGACTGACCTGTCTCTCTTGGTAGTGGGGCCGAGTCCCAAACAGGGCTTGATTCTCAAAGGCATCTGTGGAGAAAGCATAGAAAGAGAGGATTCACTTTCTGAGCCGTGCTGTGTGGGACTACGTGGCCCTGTGGGGACTATGTGGCGCTGTGCCATCCATTCAACAGACTTCGGGATCCGCGGCAGTGTTAGGTGCTCCGACTGCAGTGGAGAAAGGACAGACACCCGCCCTGTGGCACTGGCAGTCCAGTGACTGACAACCCCGCCGCTTGCGTTTGGGACGAGTGTCGTGGAAGCAGGGCGCGGAGAGCTCTGAGAGCCCGTGCGCCCCGGGGAACTGGAGGAGGGAGACTTCCCTGAAGGCGAATGTGACAGTAACAGCTGAGGGATGAGAGGAAAGAGGAAGAAAACAGGCTGATCTGGCCGAGGGAGCCGGAGGCCAGCGTGCGGAGACAAGGGCAGGCGCGAGTCTGCAGGCCGTGAGAGGACGGTGAGAACTGGAGTTTGGAAAGCTGTCGAAAGCGCAGGGAATGGAATCACAGGAGCCGGGCGGATGCAGGGTTCCGGACAGAAGAGCCTGCAGGGTCCAAGGGGAGGTGATGGCGGAGCATGACCTTGGAGACGGAAAAGCGCGTCTGAGTTATACGGGAAGAAGCGGATTTGGGGTGAGTTATGGAATAAGTGGAACTTGTTGAGTTTGCAGCCTGTGCGAGATAAATACAGAATGTCCTCGAGTAATGATTCTGTCCAATGTCGTGTCCTTCTAACGTGGATGGGAGAGAAAACCTGGGCCTGGGCTGGGCCGGGTCTGCAGAGCCCCCGTCTCCGGGCGGGGCACGGGCGTGGTGGCCGGGTGACTGGCAGGGGTCCTCAGACCGACCAGCAACGCAGGCGGCTCCACAGAACGTCATCGAGTTTGTTACAAGGTCATTTACTCACGGGACCGTGGGGTCCGAGAGCACAGACAGTGTGGACTGCTGTCCATCCTGGGACCCTGCTGCAGCATTTACTTGCCCTGCGACACGAAGGACAGGGCCGCGGAACAGAGCGCAGTGCCACCCAGGGCCGAACCTCCCGGCGGTCTCATGACAGAGGCTGTTTGTATCCGTCCCTCTCACCGGTCTGATGTGTGTCTCAGTCGTCGTGCTATTCCGGACACCAGCTGCTAACACAGATGTGTGTGGCTGCATTTAGGGCGTGAGGGCGGCCTGGCCGCGGCGTCTGTCACCCCGCTGATCGCCAGGGTTGACTCGGCTGGTCCGGCTGGCCGGGTGGGTGTCCCCCTCCTCCCTTCCCGATCGATCCACGTGCGCCCCCCCCACCCCGCCCCCGCCCAAGCTGCGCACTGGATTGACGAGGACGACCTCCCCCACTGGCAGACAGGACCGGTCTCGCACCTGGGGTGTACTGGTGGCTGTGCGTCCCTGCTAGAACCTCCAAACAAGCTCTCAAAAATATTTGTGGCTACATTTTAGGGAACACAGATGATAATCATCAACGAGAAGCCTTTGATGTGCTTGCTAAGGACAGCGAACTCAGATTTCACAGCATGGAACAGACCCAAAGACGCGGGGCTAGGCTCACCAGAGCTACCGCACTGCCCTGGCCTGAGTGAGCAAGGGGTGGGTGTGAGAGGCCCTGCGATGCAAGGGCCGCCTCTCCTCTCTGGGGCTGGGTCTGGCCTTGCTCCGTGATCTGCCAAGAGAGGCTCCAGGCGCCGTGACCCTGAACTGGAATAAGTGGGTTGGAAAACAATGATCTTACTTGGTTTTATTCATCTTTCTTAAA